CCCCAAAACCCCAAAACCCCAAAACCCCAATATATTATTTCGAGCTGAAAATAAGAAATGAAGGATAGCAGTTTAGCTAGCCAGAGTATTATCAGAGTCTAGTTTGGAATATTTTCATTCAAGATGAGGATATCATAATATCTTAGGGGGAGATACGAGAGATAAATGCGTATTATGGTGTCCTTCTTCTAGCAACAAGTCTATCTTTGCTAGAAAAAGATTTAGTAAGGCACGAGTTGTTGGTAAAATGGAGCCAAGAGAATAATCAATATTCCAGACTGAGAGTTTTGGTATTTTAGGAGTTTATGAGAGTGAGGTTTAGTATTTTATTAAAAAGAATAGGTTCCACAGCGAGGTTTCATTTTTAATAATTGAATGATGATGTAAATACTTTTCGATGGTTCATTATTATAGCAAAAAAGTTGAGCCTCTAATATCTTTGCCTCTATTGGCATTCTGGTTTTAGATGAATAATTAAGTGCTGGAAGGACTATCATTACTTCTGTTGTTATAAAATAATATATCCTGATTTGCCAAATATCTGGATTCTTAAGCTTCTCTTTTACTCAAAAGGCATTAAGAATGTTTCATCTAAATTTCTAGAAGTTACTACTTCATTAGTACTTTTATAATATTGTCAAAACTCTTGAGGAGAGGACGACATTGTCTTTGAAGACCTATTATCACTCGATATTCATGATGGTGAAGTTGGAAATGAAGCTAAAGCACATGGCCACTTCCTTTATTAAAAATTGATCATAATACTCAAGTGCTCTCATTACTAATTTTTTGTTTTATTTAAGTAGTCCACAAACGTATTTTAAATTACAGCTTAACATTCTCTTTCAGGCCTGAAGTTGATAAAGAATTTGTCTAAAAATGGCCAAAGGCATCCTGCTACATATTTATAAGCATAGAAATAATTTTTCAAAATTTCCATAAGTTTAGAACTATAGAAAATATAAATAAAAGGTAGCTAAGCGAGAAAATGAGGCTTATCAAATTCTCTCCCATTCGTTGTTCAAGAGTGATATATACAACTGCTAGAGGTACATATTGCTGTATAGACGATATTGGGAGGGTAGGAAGTCTCTTATAGAATGTATGCTGATATTAAAGTCACTTGAAAATTTCATTCATAATTCTCAGAATTTCTTAAATAGGGAAATCAGCAATGAGGTAAATTACAGTTGCCCAAAATTATGCTATAAATATGTTTAAGCTTCCTTTTTCCATCCCAGTATTGTTTTCTAAATCTGAAACAGACAAAGGTGGTAGGATAACCTATTAAAGAAATAAATTAATAGAAACCGCTAATCAGAAGACAACTAAATATTATATTCTCAGAAACTGGAGGAGGAAAGTTTCATTTTTATTTTAATTGACCAATTATTATATTTGTTTCTGTACTCCGAAGGTATACGATTCCTTAACAATAGGATATCTACCAGTGAACCCTATTTCTTCAATGGGAGTTTTTGATGTTTTCTTTCTTTGAGCAAGATTGTCTTTCATCTTCCTTATCTCAATCGACTTCTTCAATAGGTTGCTAATCTCTTGTTTCAAAGAACTTTGAGTTTTTTGATGAGTTTTCTTCTCTTCTTTATTTGAAAGATCTTCATGGGCAAACTTATACACTTCTGTGTTTATAAGTACGAATGTCTTCTAGATTCATCTTCTTTGCAGATCTTAACCCTCTTCATGCTCATAGGCTGACAGACTATGCTTTGATGCTTGCTTTCTAAATAATCACTCTTATTTTTAGAAAACAACAACTTCGTCATGTTTTGAGTAAGCTTTATACTTGTTTTAACTTGTCCAGTGGAAGCATTCTCACTCAGGATATCTTCAGAGAGGTTCTCTTCAGAAGAGCTGACCACAAATTTGTCCATAGTTAATTATTTTATTATTAGGGGCTTGTGTGGGGTTTTGGGGTTTTGGGGTTTTGGGG